ATTTTATGATGAAGCAGTTCGAGAAGCATAATATTCTCTCACCGAACCAACGAAAGTTTCTAAGAAAACGCTTGTGCAGGAGATGAGTGGACAAGATCAGTCGACGCAGGGGAGGCAGCAGACGTTGTCTGCTTAGACGTCTCCAAAACTTGTGGCAGGGTTAACCACCGTAGAATGCTACGAAAGCTCCATAACTACGTTGTTTGAGGACGGTTCCTTTGTTGGATTGAGAAATTTCTTCAACAGCGTACTGTCACGGTTCGATTTATTGGTTCTCTACCAGGACCGATTGAGGCCGTCCCTGGAGTTCCACAAGAATCCGTACATGGTCCGTACGTTTTCCTGGCATTCATAGGCGACCTAACAACTTTCCTTGGAGAACAGGCACTATTGTTTGCTGACGACGACAAAACATGGTACAAAATCCTGAAGATTATGAAACCCTACTGGAAATTACGGACGCAGCTTACCAAAGGTCTATCACTAATGATATCAAACTCAACGTTGAGGAATATAAGATTATATCCCTGTGTTGCAGGGGTCACTTTCCATGTGTACCTGGAGATTAACTATTATAGCGTGCTCCCAGCAAAAGAGCTCTGGGAGTTATTGTTCGGGAGGATATAAGATGTTCCACACATCGCATTAGAGGTCATCAAAGGCCATACCGCAAGTGGGAATATTGAAAGGTGTTTTTCGATCATTTGAAGCAGATCCACTACCCCGTTTGCTTCCGCATACATTTAGATCATTAGATCACAACGAGTATGCCATACATGGCTAATTCCTGACCAAAAAGCAATCTAAAGTCCGCAGAGAAGAGCAACCAAAATGATCAAAGGGTTACAATCTAAAACCTACGGTGAAAGGCTGCAAATTCCGAGACTCTATCTAAATACCTTCGAATAAGGGGAGGCATGATCCTCGTATACGAAATACTGTATCAACCTTACTACCCGCGTAGTTGTCTGCTAGCACTTTTCAGGAATGGTCACCTAAAAGGACATCGGTTTAAACGGTTGCTCCAAAAGAGTCAGATAGACTGCAGGCGTCACTTTTTCAGCCTCAGAGTTTGTAATGCCTGTAAATTTCTTCCACCTCAAGGTTTTGTGCTCCAACCATCAATTCATTCAAGTCATCTAACAGTTCAGCACCCGTGAATGAACGTTATATTTTGTTGTTTAGTTGCGCTATCAACCGAATCCAGGATGTGCAAATCCTATGGGATGCAATAAGTATCAGCTTTGTAATTTACTCATAACAAAATTTTGGATTTGAATTTGTGTGCAAACTGAGTGAAATTAGAAGATTACAACTTTTATGAAATTATTTTGTACAGTCTTAACTATAGTGGCAACATGTTTGCATATTATTGCTATTCTTTAGTTATTAAATAATTTCACAAGAGATTTGGTTTTATTGGTTATTAGGGAAATCGTGGTGGCTACACGCACTCACGCACATCTGAGTGAGGCCATCGAACTGTCACGAGGAGCCCTGTCCGGGACTGCGCGCCCACTGTCTCTAGACGAGGAAGTGGAGCATTGTATTCCAATAAACCCCATCCACGTTATTCTTTTGTTGAAGTGAATTTCAGCTGAAAGAACGAATAAAAATGTTTTCAATGTGTTTATTTTTATTGCATAAAAAACATAAATTTGATGTGCATATAGGGAAGTGGTGATTATTGAACGTGCTATCAGGAATTCAAAGCATAACAAGTGAAGAAAAATGGTCTCATAGCACGAGGGCTGTCTTTTTCTACCATACGACATCCAGGCCGGTGTGTAGCAATGATAAATATGTTGTTGTCTATCATAGATATAAATCTGATAATTCATGGTGTTCCACCATTCTATTAAGCAAATGACTCATTTCAACTCCCTTGTTTGTTTGTCTCTCATGATCGCATAATTGTGCATTTACAGCCAGATACGAGCAGGCGAAATTGATGGCCATCATCAATTCTGCACACAAATGACATCTGATGTTCATGAAATGAGGTTAAAACGAATAGCACAGTCGCTGAACATATTTGTTGTTCTTCAATAAACCGTGACTTTTGAATGACTGAATGTCTATCCCCGTAAAACATGCATTTCCTTATTTGATCTGTGCAAGCCAGAAGATGAATCAATGAAAACAGTTGTTTGCCTCTGAATGTTTGCTCTCTTGTCATAATGGATATATTCTGGATTTTAAAACAGTAAAGCTGGAACATGTTCGGGAAGATGAAGCGCTAGTTACTAAGTCACCGTTTTTCGAAAGGCTGCAGTGGAATCCAATAACTAGCATATAACTGCATTGTATGATTAGATAAAACTTCTTATAATGGTGTACAATTTTTGGGAAGAGTAGAAGCTTGTTCGGTCAATCGGTGTACTAGTGGATGTAAGTTCGCCACAGACTGTAAGTGTTAAATGCTGCCGTTGAACCTTTGACAGTGCTGGTTCTTGTCGTGACGAAGCAAACCACTGTTGAAATTCTATCAAAATTTAATTTATTTCTGCATCTAACTAATTCGGACTCCATTTGTTCCTCTCTCGCCAAGGGTGTTTAGGCGAGCAATCCGTTTTCCATCACTGGTCAAACCCAGTTGAACGACACTGACTCTGTATCCACGTGAAGGGATACCCTCGTGAAATCCGTTTTAAAGCTTTTTCCAAGAATATTTATTTGCTAGATCGGACAACCACGAACGATTCGCAAGTCCGTCAGAACTGACAGAATTCGAATCAATTTAAGCCTTTCGGTTTTATTCTATTGACAGCGCTCAGTAAGCGGTTAGTTGATCGATTTTTAAACTTGTCTCAAAGATCAGGAGAACAGTTTGTTGTTGCTCTGTGGGAATGGCAAATCAAAGAACAAACACATTGGAAACGGTTACGACCCTAAATATGAATTAGTGAAACCCAGTCACTGATTAGTAGTTAAATTCAATTCAACCCCAGTCAAAGTGAGTGGATCTCTTCTTTTTTTATCGTTCATGAAAAAAGATTACAAGTTGTACACAGCTTCGCCCAGTTTCTCTCGGACGCTTTTTGCTGGACAAAATCCAGCAGGCGCAATGACAAGTACCTTCTTTTACCCCTCCCCCAATTCGCTTAACCTGTTCACCTTGTGTTACACCCTATGGAAATGAACTTTTAGGCTGTAACACGTGTTTGCTTGTTTCCTGCCAATGTAAAATCCGACAAAAAACCGACCGACTGACCAACAGTTCGTCGATTATGGTTGAAAGCTTTTACTTTACAAAGCAGAAAATTGTTTGTCTATTTTTATTTGGTTCCCAAAATAGACCAGCGGAGTGCAACATGTAGAAAAAGATTTTTTCAGCCGTTTTGTTTTCAATATTATTAAACTACACTCCGTAAATTTAGTTTAAACGATGAAACATCATTTAGGGTTTCATTTTGTATTCAACGATCAATGTCTGAGCTAGTTTCTTGTTGCATAGAAGAGGTGGTTGAAAAGACCATCATGAATGAAACGTTTGGAGAACGATGATTGTGCACATTAACGCACGATGAGCTAATAAATATGGTCTTCTACATATATATTTAGTAGGATAACCTAATAGCCGTATGATGTTCCTAATTTCTAGTCAGAACAGTCATCTAGGTTTCAGGGAGAATCCTTGGCGTTCAATGACCAGATTCGAGAAGATTCAAAGAAAAACCCACCTCCAAGATGAAAATAAAAGGAAAATGTGTGCACCAGTTAGATTTCCGTACCACGAGTTGGATAACAGTTGTTGAACAGACGGCATAAAAAAATCCTGGACTTCATATTGTTTGAATGACCGACGGAAATTTGATTACTTTATGATTTTCCTCTTTCTCTCACGAGAACAAGTTAGAAACATGACAGTGTGTTCAAAATGTTTGCTAACCTAATTAAAGGATAAATCATTGTTTCTGTTATCTTATAATTGATCATATATTTAAAATTTTAAAATTATTTCAAGAGATATCATTGTTTCCGTTTTAGTTGAATTCCGGGATATTTTCCAGGTTTCTTCAGGGGTCCTTTGTCGCTATGATTCTCTCATCAGATGTGTACGTTTGATGCATAAGTGATAAATGTTTCCCTTGAATAAGACTTGTTTTATTGGTTTTATCCCTGAGTGGATCGGCCAAGCATTATTCATTTTTTAGCACAATGAAATGCGTGACAAATAGAACTTGCTTCCGCTCAAGGTCAAACGCCTTTGTGAAAAGTCAATTCTCAAGGTCACTTCTCATCAGTTTTAAAAAAGATTTTCTAGATAAAATAGATCAGAGATAAGTTAACCCAACTAGTTGAAACAATAAAGCGCGTTGTTGGAATAGTAAACTTGGCTATAAATAGAAGTTCAGTAATTGTATTTTCACAAGCAAAACCTGTTTCAGATGATCACAATCAACGGTCAGATATGATCGTTTGATTAATTGGTTGACTACTTACTATGAATTGTTTAGTATAAGTGCTAGTCGTCACTACCTGGTTACTCAAACCGTTGCATTAATGTGGTAATCCGCCAATCAATATTTGCGTGTTCATCTACATTCGCGAAGTGAAATTTTGCTCGTGAATTCTCATTGGTTGATTCTTACCGGCCAATCACGTGAAAAAGGGTAGAGGATAATTGGCGTAGAGGGCAGATTGTGTCCGTCCACCTCATAAACGTACGGATTCAATCGTTTGAAAATAGTTTCCACGTTGTTATTCGTTATTGTGTTCTATGAGTTAGTTTTAATTTGTTTTAAACTCAACTAAAATTCCTGATTCCTCTGGCACGTCCCATTAATGTGATCCATCCTAAATAAATGACAAATCGAAGTATAAAGCAACTGAGTCAATTTCTCCTTACAACACATGGTCATCAAAACCTTTTCTCACAAGTGGTGCATTTCCAATGGAGTGGTCTTAGCTCCAAGTTTGTATGAATTGAGTAACTATCGCGGATCGATCACTGCCCCAGCGCGTACTGGNTGTTCTATAGCATTCCGGATCTTCCAATGGATCCTGGTGGAGCGCTTAAGCTCAGCCGCTTCTTCTACGTGGCGTATGGTGGAGAAGGTGTGGATTTTGTGGATCAGTTAAACTATCAGTTCTCCAGTGGCATTTTGATTATGTTCATAGTAATGATTGGATTTCGACAATATGTGGGTGAGTTTCATTCGGTAATTATTCTGTTCATTTGTTTGGTAACCGGTTGTGTTTACGCGCTGTGTTTGTATACAATTGCATCCATCACTCAAATGATTGTTTTGTGTGTGTGGGTGGGTGTATGCGTGTACACTGAATGAATGATTACCTGATGAGGTACACATCAGGATGATCATAAAATTGTTCGGTAACAAAAAGTTTCCTAAAGTTTAAACAAACAATCAATAAACGTTGTCATTTTACTCCTATCACAAATCGCTTCGATTGTCAGAAAAAAGAGGAAAATTATTTTATTATACTTAGATGTTTTGTTCATGTATGATAGCTGGAAATGATTTAACTGTTTCGTCAAAGCAAAGTACGATTTACAGGTTTTTAATCACTGGGGAAGTTTTCTTTATTTCTTTGAGGTTTCCATAACGATCAGTTGCTATGCTAAATTCTAATTGATGATTAAAGCAGAGTCGCCAACTGTCCTCGGGTTTCAAATTCTTTTACAATTTTGATGGCTTATGTAGATGGATTGAAGTTTGTGCTGTGAGAGTTATGTTTAATTGCGGATTTCATTATCGGGTACTTGGTACTACATGCCCGATCAAACGTATATTGTTTTGCTGTTCGTAAAGCAGTTGGGAACACTGCAATATACACTTGATGATAGAGTAGGTACTGTTTGTTTTTCATTTTGATTAAAAGCGTTTGTTCTTTGTGTTCTTGTCTCCTTGAATTGTGTGTGTGTGCGTGAACACTGCCCGAGAGAAACGCGATTTCTGACCAATTTTTTTCCGATTGATTGAAACAGATTTCTTGGACCATCAGTTTGCATTTCCCCGGAGAGTTTTGCACAACTTTATTTGGCAATCAATCAAAACCCACTTTTGTTGTCATCAATCCGCGTCCCAAATAACTTTCTTCTTCTCCGTTTTTTTCTACGTGAATTTGTTCTTTTCTCTGACTGTTTGAGTTGGCACAAAGGCCCTGCGGGGCAGACCGAATTAATGAGTGCCGTTGAGTGTGTTTTGCGCGCACAACCCCGCACAGCCTCGCGCACGCACGCACGCAAGCACGGACGCACACAGACACGTGAACCACGCGGCTCGTATTTTTGGTTGAGTTGCGGCAAATTCATTTTGCTCGTAAATGAGATTGACAAAAGTGGTAACGATCATCCTTATCGCGCACGCACGCACGCACGCACGCACGCACAAACACACGCACACACACTCAGTGATCCTCCACTTCGTTAGTCACAATGGATAACAAGAAACCAAAATTTGCAGGATTTGAAAAAAATTGGAAAATCAAATTTAAATTGTTTTCTTTCTTTCAAGACTGTTTTGATCATAGCGAGGTTTTGAGTGGTGTATTTCTCTCGTTCTATTCAAATATTCTTCACGTATTAGAAGAATTCTTTAGTAAAGACAGACTAACAAGCGTCTCAGAGAATTTAATAGCAACCTTATGACTTGTGCCTTGTAGCTAATCCGGAACTCCATGCCTTTGTTGCCTCATCCGGAGATGTTGATCTAGAGGAGGTATTTTTTATCGTCGTTTCTAGGAGATGATCTTGACTTCGATTGTATCATCTGACTCCAGCCGGAAGTTGGTGCGGTTCAACCAACCGATTACGTAATCGCCTTTCTGTTTTTCCCTACTTCGATTCCTCTGCATCTACACTGGGTTTGATAGAGACACTGAGACGGATTAGGCGGATCAGTTCATCTGCAAAATGGCTGATTGTGCCAAATGAAGATAAAACAGAAATGAGCACGAAGTGAACAACATGGTGAAACGTGACCTGTAAGTTCTAAACCGACGTTTTCTTCAAAACATGCTCCACGTGAGAGAATATATTGTTCCCTCAAATGCCTTAACCAGCCAGGTTTCCTATTGCTGTGAATTGAGATGAGTGAAAAACAGAATTTCAGCCATGGACAGTAAATTTGCTAGTACTCTGCACCATTTGAGTTTGAAAATATGAGATTTTTGTTGCGATAGTTTACCGCAAACGTTTACCTATTGGCGGCGATCATAAATAGAAATCAGCAGAATTCAATAGAGAGGAGTGCAATCGGCATACCAAACCAGAACAGTGTCATTCATTGTTTTATTGTGCACGAAATTGTCGCATTCATTACATCAATAAGACCTATTGAAAAACTCACGCTAATACCATCTTCCTATTCAACAAATCTTTTTGTTGACTCTGGTTGGGAATTTGGAGCAGGATATGTCGATTGTAATTTACAATAATTACTGGGATCTGGTCAACCTTGTATTCTGTGTAACAGAACTCTTGCCTGTCAATCAAATTGCGCAACACGCTATGTCTACGTGGACAGTCTATTTGGTCCCATTCTGTTGATTCTGTAGCCAAACCAGGGACAGAGAGAGCTTTGTTACCAGGTGCAATGTTTTTTCATGTTACCACCTTTCAGAGCAACAAAGTTGAAACATTACGAATTGGTAACCATTTTTCCAATACAATATCATACAAATTATCGTTGGACGAAAGCTTAGAAACGTGTAACTAAAGCCCTCAATTAAGTAACAGTAAATGGAACAGAAATATGAGATAAATTGCGGACTGCTGTTTTTAGATATCCGTAGTACACTTTAACCGTCATTCTGCTCCATTTTGCACAAGTCTAATGGAACAGTGTATCTGCGCGCCTTGGGTTGTTAACCTTTATTTTGCAACCATGCCACTCAGCATTAAGAGCAGAGTTATATTTCTCAATGTTTACATTTACCACAAAGTAAAATAAATGAAATGAATGATACACAAACGGAACAAATGTGAACCACGTGTGGAAACACGTGTCAACCAACAAGCGTTGGGTCGTCGCACGAACGAAGATGTTCTTTTCAATTCCGCAGGTCTGACTGGCTTTTGAAATATTCATTTCAGTTTACACCCGAGTGTTTCAAAATAAATGTACCTGGATAAAAACGATGGCATTTACACAATTGGTGATTCCACATGAGTTCATGCCTGGCTTTGATGGATCCGACTGGCTAATGATAGTAACGAGATTTTGAGAATTCCATTCACCGTAAACTTTGGTTACTTGGGTAAAAGGCTTTATGAGCAAACAAATTGGCATTTCCATATAGACGAATTTCTCATCTTACTCGATGAATCGTTACAGTAAGGTGATTGGCATTTTACTCTTGTCAAACGTGTCTGCTAAGCATTGACCTGTGGCTTCAAAAATCTACGGTGACAGCAGATCGGAAAATCTGAGAATTAGTCTGACTGGGTACTGAACATCAAAGTATCATAAATTCAACTAGGCACCAGATATTCCATACGGATTTTAGCGCGGTGTTTAATTTTTTCGACCATTATCTTCAATTTCACCCGGATTCAATGCCAATTGTTTACCGAAGCGACTGCATCATCTCTAGTTTTTGCCAGACTTTCAAATCGATGAAACATCTGTTATAGAAAATTCAGCCATGATCCAAAAAAAGTGCATTTGAAAATGAAAGATATTACTTCACAAATCAAACGTGGAACTCACATCGTCTGTTAAAGCGAAACAGATGTGATTGCAAATCTATCAAAAACATATGTTCGTCTGCAAATTGCCCACGTGACAGCAACAGATGCGTTTAATCAATGACGCTTGAAAACTGTGAATTAGCTGTGTCCGGCTCCAGTTGCGAGACGAAGGTGAGAGGGGTCTAATGCAACACCAACACAGCCCTAGACGCGGAATCGTCGAACCGAACGGGACTTAAACTAATCAAAAAGTAGCATTTTCATTTGAATAAATTCAGAGAACGTTTTCTCCTTTCAAAACTTGCTTGTTGAATTAAACATACGAGGAGGACTTATTGTTACCCTGTACTAGATTGCTTTTCTTTTGTGTTCAAGTGGACTTAGGATTTGTACCACGAATCAAAAGCGATAGAAAAAAATCAAATGTGCATTTTCGTTGGTGTTCTAGGCGGTGAAATTGCGTTCAAATGCAATTACCCTGAATCAGTTTCCGTACGGTTCAATTGTTTGTTTGTGCGGACGTTTGTTGATTGAACTCAACTTCTATCAGTAGTATAAATAACGTAACAGGCCTTACTACAATCCGCGTTCTTGAAAGCATATCAAGTTGAATTTGGCATCAACTTTTATTGTTAAAAAAGTTGATACTAGGGTTTACGTGAAGTGTCATGCCCAACACAAAACAAGTTGAAATTCACCACCGGCGGTCATGCGTTTCAATCGATGACTGTCCACTCCGCGGCTATTTTGTTTCTGAACTTGAAGGTTCAATGCTTGAGTCCAGTGTGAAACAGAGGAACACTACTGGTTGGTCCTAGCAAAGACGAAATAACTTTTCACTCTGGCTTGCAAATCATTATTCCATTTACACACATACGGTACTGGCCGATTGTGATGCACTAAAATATTTTCTTTCTGATCCAATTGAGTTTCATTATATTCATTATCTATATTATTGCGTTAGGTATGGACAATAATTTATCTCTTTTCTTCTTATGTCTACATAGTTTCTAGGCTGCATGATTGCCAATTAAACCTGCCTGACTTGGGCTGACAAGAGTAAATAATCTCAACACGAAAATCGCAACTGTTATCAATCATGAAAACGCAATTTATTTTAATAGGAGTGACTCAAGAATTATCCCAGTTTATTTCCATAAACCGTTGCCATCTCGGCTACTTATTATGAGGCATTATTTTATCCAGTATGTAATCCACTATAGCAACTCTATTGAATAACCCGGTGAATTTTTTTCAAAACCCGGAGAAATTGCATTAAATAAGGTTTCCTAATAATAATGATAATAATAATAATAATAATAATCTATGTTTGATAGCTAACTCGCTGAATTCAAAAAATAACATTTTCATCAAAGTCAACCTTCAAATCGAGGTCATTTTGTGCACACATTCGAACATGCGTATTGTTATCACCATAATGAAGCAAACAGCGCTCCAAATCAAAAGTTCTCGTTATCTCAGTGAAGAGGAT